CCATTTCGGCGAAGAAAGTACTCCCATTGTGCCGACACATAATAATAGCTGCAATTGAAAATTATCGATGAAAACAAGAAAGCATATACAAACACTTCAGAACTGTTTAAAAAACAACCAAGTGAGGTTGTGAGTAAACCTGCACAAATCCGCCATATTTCCAACAGGAGGGCTAGGCAAGCGCAAGAAAAGAGACGGAGTTAAGAAAGGAAGGAAACTGTGAGATACAAGGACGATTATTTCAAATGGAAGATGCTGAACTGTGCAAAAGCAGAATAGTATGTGTATAAGACAGGGTTTGATTATTAAAACGGTATTTTCAATCCTAATCGGCTACCCTCTTTCCAAATCCGCGATATACGCCTCAAACACTGGAATAATACGGAAACCAACATAACAGACTCAGGATCGTTATCATGTTACACTGTTAACGTAATATGACGATGAATGCCTGCAGTCTGAATCGCAATGATTTTGCTTGTTACAGTGAACCACATAATGGGATGCCAGTGGTCCCCTCTTTGCGAACTGCTTAAAAAGAAAGTGTCGGCTCCCAAACAAGCCATACATAACACTAGTGATGTACGTAAAAATGAATGCACAAAAATCCATTAAATAGCTTCACCCAGGTCTGGACATGCTGGCATCGCAAGTCACTAAATCACCACACTACTCAAAATCGTTTCGATGATCGAAAGCGCACACATGCGGACAAACAGGCTTTACAGCATCGTGATGAAGTTTTTGAAAAAACGTATTAAATTATCACCATTATGGTGATTTTCCATTAGTTTTTTAATGCCATTTCTAGATTTTGAAGGCTCAGGAGTGATTAAGGTCCAAAAATGAGCAAAAACAGCCAACGATTCCACAGCTTCAATCAAAAAACAAAAAGGCCAGAGCAATACTTAAAACTGACCAAATAAGAAACAAATACGAAATACAGCGCTGATGGGATCGTGAGCAGCACCCATGTATACCACCATGTTCCTAACTGACCCATTAAATAATCCGAGAAAAAGTACAAATTTATAGCGATCACAATACATGAAACAATTAGCGCCAAAACTTGAAATAACCTGAAACGTAGAAGTGTAGATGCTATCGTAATTCATAAGCAGTGCAGGAATTTTTAGCTAAGAGAACTTTAGCTGGATCGGAGGAAAAAGCAGTGAATCATATACGCAAAAAGAGAAGCATTTTATTTTACACTAAAATTTAGGGAACCACTCATAATTCCGCTACCTTACCCTTGATAAAAAGAAAGCTTTGAAATCCCATTTTTTTCCACTGTCACATGATCTTCAGAGGTACCTCACCGCACTATATCTGCTTGCGTCCTGCGAATATTCAGCATATCCATCGTTGTCACCCACTACAGTATATCTAAGGTGCATTACGCTTCGGTACTTAAACCTCACTGTGCTGGATTTTTGAGGAAGGATTTTCCTTTTGAGAACCGGCGATCCGTAACTCTGTTGGTCCAACTTCTCAATAACGCAGGCTGGACTGCGCCAGACTTGCCGGTGCAGTCATGCGTTTTTGCACCAGACTTAAAGTACTCAAGTCTTTAACTGCATGAGTGGTTCACTAGCGTAAACCACCGTAAATTTTACATAAGTGAAATGATCAATTTCCGCTTAACGGTTGATTTTTAAAAATGACCTGTTCAGTAAGCAATTTTCTCGTCAAAACCTTTAACTGTCCGTACACGAGAAACATGCATACTTGGAGGCTGAGTTTTAAAAATTTAAGTTGTACTTGGACAAGGAACATTATCCTAAATTTCAGCCTCCCACCTCTTCTGATTGCCGAGTTAGCAATTTTTCCGACAAAACTTTCACGTGCCCGTGCGCGAGAACCCTGAACTAGGGACTGAATTTGAAATATGTAACTCCACATATGCATAGAGAATATCTCTGCAAAATCTCAACTCTACATCTTGTCTGGTTCTCGAGATCACTTTTCCGCCAAAAAACTGCATATTTTTTTAAGACGTCCGCCTGTGGGACCCAGCAGCGTGAATGAAATTAAAATGGGAAAGCCGCACATGGTGTGGGCACATATTCCCGAAGTTTCAGCTTTCTAGCTGTTCTGGTTCTCGAGTTGAAAGTGGGAAACAAAAAATGCGTGCACGCAGACAGACAGACAAACCCACACACATACAGCCTCTTGTCAATATGTGCTTTTGCATTTGTACATATGCAAAAACGCATAAAAAGTGAA